CAGAATGAGACACCGTCTCAAAAAAAAAATTGTCCAGGTGCAGTGGCTCACAACTGTAATCCTAGCACTTTGGGAGGCTGAGGTCAGTGGATCATTTGAAGTCAGGAGTTCGAGACCATCCTGGCCAACATGGTGAAACCCCACCTCTACTAAAAATATGAAAATTAGCTGGGCATGGTGACGCATGTCTGTAGTCCTAACTCCTCAGGAGGTTGAGGCAGGAGCATCACTTGAACCCGGGAGGCAGAGGTTTCAGTGAGCAAAGATGATGCCACTGCACTCCAGTCTGGCGACAGAGCGAGACTCTATCTCAAATAATAATAATAATAATTGGCTGGGCGCAGTGGCTCACGCCTGCAATCCCAACACTTTGGAAGGCTGAGGCAAGTGGATCACCTGAGGTCAGAAGTTTGAGACCAGCCTGGACAACATTGTGAAACCTCTCTCTACTATAAATACAAAAATTAGCTGGGCATAGTGGCGCGCACCTGTAATCCCAGCTACTTGGGAGGCTAAGGCAGGAGAATCACTTAAACCTGGGAGATGGAAGTTGCAGTGAGCTGAGATTGCACCACTGCACTCCAGCCTGGGCGACAGAGCAAGAATCGTAAAAAAAAAAAAAAAAAAAAAAATTAGCTGGATGTGGAAGCATGTGCCTGTAGTCTCAGCTACTTGGGAGGCTGATGCACGAGAATTGCTTGAACTTGAGAGGTAGAGGTTGCAGTGAGCCAAGATTGTGCCACTGCACTCCAGCCTGGGTGACAGAACGACTCTGTCTGCAAAAAAAAAAAATTAGCAACCTGAAGTAGCTGGCCAAAGTAGAAGACCCCTGGGGAAGCCTTGAAAGCTCCCCAACAGGAGAGTTAAACTGGGCAGGAATGTGCTGAAATGGCTGAACCAAGTACTTCAGGGTGCAGAGGGACTGAAGCTGAGAAAAGCAGCAGACCCAGTGATAATCTTGCACACAGGACTATAAATGCAGTGATATAAACTCTAAACTCTTAGGGGGGCAGACATGGTGGCACACACCTGTGATTCCCAGCACTTTGGGAGGCTGAGCCAGGAGGATTTCTTGAGCCCAGGAGTTTGAGACCAGCCTGGGCAACATAACAAGACCTTGTCTATACTAAAAATTTTTTAAAATTATAACATTGGCCAGGCATGGTGGCTCATGCCTATAATTCCAGAACATTGGGAGGCCAAGGCAGGCAGGTCACCTGACGTCAGGAGTTTGAGACCAGGCTGGTCAACACAGCGAAACCCAGTTTCTACTAAAAATACAAAAATTAGCTGGGCGTGGTGGCCTGCACCTGTAGTCCCAGCTACTCGGGAGGCTGAGGCAGGAGAATGGCTTGAACCCAAGAGGTGGAGGTTGCAGTGAGCCAAGATCATGCCACTGCACTCCAGCCTGGGTGACAGAGCGAGACTCCATCTCAAATAAATAAAAATAGGCCAGGCACCGTGGCTCATGCCTGTAATCTCAGCACTTTGGGAGGCCAGAGTGGGCGGATCATGAGGTCATGAGATCGAGACCATCCTGGCCAACATGGTAAAACCTCATCTCTACTAAGAATAGAAAAATTAGCTGGGCATGGTGGTGCATGCCTGTAGTCCCAGCTACTCAGGAGGCTGAGGCAGGAGAATCACTTGAACCTGGGAGATGGAGGTTGCAGTGAGCCGAGATTGCGCCATTGCACGCTAGCCTGGTGACAGAGCGAGACTATCTCAAAAAAAATTTTTTTTAATTTAAATTTAAAAATTAGCTAAGTGTGGCAGTGCATACCTGTGATCCCAGCTACTCAGGAGGCTGAGGTGGGAGGATCACTTGAGCCCAGGAGGTCAAGACTGCAGTAAGCCATGATCGTACCACTGCATTTTAGCCTGGGTGACAGAGTAAGACCCTAAGAAAAAAGAAATATGGGCCGCCCCTCGTCTAAACAGACCCTGAGTTTCTGAATAATGACACACTGAAGTGCACCACCAGCCACACCACCAGCCCCACTGGAGGCTGTGTGGGGCCTCTTGCTACCATTGGCACACACTGGGGCATGCTCTGTGGTGTGTCCACCACCTTCATAGGCAGTGGGCAAAGTTGAAGTTGTTGAAATGGGAAGTCACAAAAAAAGCAGAGCTGAGACTGTGAGACCACAAGGGCACACATTTGCTGGCCTGGGCTAAGGGCCAAGACTGCCACTGTCTACCTTAGACTTCCATTTGATGAACTCTAGCACCTCAAGTTAGGGTCGCACGGGTGGGCCCCTCCTACCAAATACTCAGGTCCAGGACTTTTCTTCGGACTACATCTTTTGCCCTTGGTGTCACTGACTTCAAGAGACCTAGAGAATTAAAACTCGGATTAGGGCCAGGTGTGGTGGCTCATGCCTGTAATCCCAGCACTTAGGGAGGCCAAGGCGGGTAGATCACTTGAGGCCAGGAGTTCAAGATCAGCCTAACCAACACGGTGAAACCCCATTTCTACTAAAAATACAAAAAATTAGCCGGTCGTGGTGATGAGCACCTCTAGTCCCAGATACTTGGGAGGCTGAGACATGAGAATCGCTTGAACCCAGGAGGCGGAGGTTGCAGTGAGCTGAGATTGTGCCACTGCAATTCAGCCTGGGTGATAGACTGTCTCAAAAACAAAAAATAAACAAAAAACCCAAAAACTCAGGTTAGGCCTGCTCTGATTTTGAAGGTTTTTGTGGGGTTTCACTCTTTTTTCTTTTCTTTTTTTTTTTGAGACGGAGTTTCGCTCTTGTTACCCAGGCTGGAGTGCAATGGCGAGATCTCGGCTCACGGCAACCTCCGCCTCCTGGGTTCAGGCAATTCTCCTGCCTCAGCCTCCTGAGTAGCTGGGACTACAGGCGTGCGCCACCATGCCCAGCTAATTTTTGTATTTTTAGTAGAGACGAGGTTTCACCATGTTGACCAGGATGGTCTCGATCTCTTGACCTCGTGATCCACCCGCCTCGGACTCCCAAAGTCCTGGGATTATAGGTGTGAGCCGGTTTCACTCTCCATTCGGCAAGGTTGGAAGACTCTCCAAGCACTCACAGCTGGGTGAAACATCGCTGTACCTCCTCAGGCACCATTACAGTCAGCCCTGAACCAGAGAGAGAGCGAACACCACTAGGTGGAAGAACCACCGCCTGCTCCCACTGGAAGTCTGAATGGATTTCCAGAGGACCCAGCGGACCTCCTGTTACAGAGATACTGTAGTCCTAGAAGAGCGTCTCTCTGGATGAGTCCTTAGGGACGGACCTGGGGAGCCTCCATTTCCCACAGAAGCTCTTCCCGATTATGCTCTTTCCACATCATCCCCTGTTTGTTTGAGACAGGGTCTCTGTTGCCCAGGCTAGAGTTCAGTAGCAAGATCTCAGCTCATTGCAGCCGTGACCTCCCAAACTCAAGAGAGCCACCCACCTCAGCCTCCTGAGTAGCCGGGACTACAGGCATGCGCCACCATGCTTGGCTAATTTTTTGCAGAGATGGGGTCTTGCCATGTTGGCCTGGCTGCTCTTGAACTTCTGGCCTCAAGTGATCCGCTTTCCTCTGCCTCCCAAAGTGCTGGGATAACAGGTGTGAGCCACCACACTGGGCCCTGTTTTATTACTTTCATCACCCAATCCCCTGAGAAAGAATTATGACACCTGGACCAGGAGGCGCCTCTGCACCTTATGTCGGACCCAGGATTCTAGGCTTCAGGGTTTCTTGTTCTGTTAAGAAAAGAAAATGAGGACTGGGGCTGGGCGCTCACGCCTGTAATCCCAGCGCTTTGGGAGACCGAGGCAGGGGGACCGCTTGAGCCCAGGTGTTCTAGATCAGCCTGGGCAACATAGCGAAACCCTGCCTCAGGTTAAAAAAAAAAAAAATTAAAATTAAAAAAGGACTGGTTTGGACCAGGGAATATGGGGAAGGCGAACTAGTGCAGGCACGGGCTTTGGTTAGGCGGTCTGGGCACCGTCATAGCTCTGCAAGAAGCCACTACATGCACACTTCCTCCACACCAATAGCCCAGCTCCAGGTAAAGGTCCACGACGCAGCCCCTCCAAGCAGCAGCGTCCCACCCTGATCCCTTACTCCTCAGGACTATTTACACCTCCCCCATCAGGCAGGCCCCCCTTAAGAGTGGTTCCTGAGAGCTGGGCCCCACGAGCAAGCCAAGGTGTATTCTTGGTCTCCTGCAAGGACGCCCCTGTCCTGAGCCCTGTGCGCGGCCCGCGGGCATCCCCACTCCTCCGAGAAGTACGGTAGACAACACTCAGGCGAAGTCAAACTCAGCGCCCCCAGCCTCCTCCCCACTTCGGCTCGGCCCCATCTCTCCAAGACAAGGCGCCAGCAAGGGAGCCACAGGCCGCATCAGCCCGAGCCTTTGATCCCGGGTGTTCAGACTCAGGGCCTCCACCACCGCCTCCTAAACTCAGACGCTGGGCCGTGGGAACCCCATTGAGCAACCCAGAAAGGTGTGCCCGAACCTTCCCCAAACGAGGCCACTCTAGGAAATTAGGAATTTCACATATCGTTATCACTCAGTTAACGTTTATTGGCTTAAGAACTAAAGAACCGGAAGATGCCCTTAAAGAACGTGGCGGCACTCTAGCTTCAATCGGTTGCCTCAACATTTCAAGAAACCTGGCATTGCATGTGGCCCTCAAAAGATGACGCCACCCGGTCCACCACGGTTCAACGAGGACTAAGACATCTGCCCTCAACCATCATGGCGGCGCCGCCCAATTTGGCTTCCTGCCCCTAGGGATAATGGCCGCCAGGTGGCTTCACTTAGTTTCTCACCACCCCGGAAGACGGGGACCGACGATTGGGCGGTGCCCGGAGGCCCCAAGAAAGCCCTCAGCGGTTGGGCAGCCTTGGGTAGGCCTGGTTTTAAAGGAGCCGGAGGTGGGAGCTGCGGAAGACCCGGGATCCACGGGAGGCAGCGGTGAGCGGCGCTTGCGGGAGGGCAAGGAGTGGCTGCAGAGGGCGGGAGTTGGGGGCGGGGAAGGAAACATCTGAATCTTCTGTTCCCGGGCCGGGGGAGACCGCTGGGCGGGGACGCGAGGAGGGAGGGGGCGTCTGTGGGCGGGACCTCCCGGGATTGGAGTGAAGGGGGTATCTGCTTGACAGTGGATCCCTGGGGATCTAGGCTGAGTTCAGAAATGCTCCATCTCGGGCCGCCCCTGTCTGAGCGGAGCTTTGCGGCGCCGAAGCTCACAGGGGAAGCAGAAGCCCCGCCCGGCGTCTGATTGGCGGAACCGCGCTGTAGGATTCTTTCCGCAGGGATCCAGTCTAGGGGATCTGGTGGGAGGGAGGGTCGTCGATGTGTGGAGTATTGCTTTGGAGTCCTCAGCCACTCGCTAGGAGTGGAGGAGGATCGCAGAGGGATCCAGCGGAAATAGCCTCCCAGGACCGGGATCCCCGTAGATCCCGGGGGATTTCGGGGCATAATTTGCAGGGACAAAGGCTTCGAGAGGCTGGGACCGTAGGAGAACTGGGGCCGCTGCAGTCCGGGTTCTGGCAGCAGGTGCCGGGCAGGGCGCGAGTGATCCGCTGATCGAGGCGGTGGCGCTGGAGGACACCCACTCCGGGCGGCCGGCCGGGGGCGCCCTTTCGCGCCCCAGGGCTACGGTCGCTGGACTACGGGGAGTTTCGGGCGGACCATGAAGGGCGGAGCCCCGGGGAAGGGGCTAGCCCTCACCCCCCGCTCCACCGCTCCCCCCTTGCCCCAGGCCTCAGCCTGGGATTCCCCAGGGAACCCCCGGAGCCGCCGCTTCTCCCATGGACTTGCCCGGGGACTCCAGGTGAGAGCGCACCCCGCCCGCCTGTCTTGAGCCTGGGAGATGGGGATCCTGGCGGCCGTGCCGGGAAACTACAGAGCCAGCGACAGGTTCGGGCGACCGTCCTCTTCTTCTTTCACCCTCCAGCCCGCCTGGCCAGCCGCGTCTGTGCCGCCAGCCTCTGACTCGAGCATTATGGGGAGCCACGAGCCCGAAACGGCAGAGGCTGCAGCCCCCGGCAGCCCCTTCTCCCCTGGAAAAGGCCTCTCGGCGGGTCCTGGCCGTGGTGCTGGAAGATGTCATGGCTGTTCGAATGGTGAGCCCCCTGAACCATGAGACCCTCTATTCCCCCATGCCTTTCCTCACTACCAAACTCGGGCCAGATCCCTACTGAGGATAACTGAAGTCCAAATCCATCATTCTTGTACCCATTCCTCAGGCAACCTCCCTCATGCTAGAGTCCTGCTTGGCTCCCACTCACTCCAACCTAGAATTGGGCAGTGTCTGTTTCCCCCACCAACCTTTCTGGGCTGGAACCACATCCCTGCAACTCTGAGAAACTCTTCTGCTTTCTTTTCTTTTTTTTTTTTTTTTCTTTCTTTCTTTTTTTGTAGAGACAGGGTCTTGCTATGTTGCACAAGCTGGTCTCAAACTGGCATCAAGAGATCTTCCCATCTCTGCCTCCCAAAGTGCTGGGATTACAGGCATGAGCCATGGCGCCGGGCCGAAACTCTTCTGCTTTCAGCCCAGCCTCCTTAGGAAGCAGGCTGAGGTCTTTGACTCCACTGCACAGATAAGAAAAACCAAGGCCCAAAAAAGGCACTGACCACTCTAGCTCACCCTGTCTTTTTCATTTCTCTAAACAGCGTGGGTGAGATTACCCAGGTCCCACACCTGCAGCTTAGGACTCTTAATATCTGGCCCCTAATTCATCTCTTCTCTGGGGATCCGAGTGAATTCTAGCCCTAATCTCTGTCATGTTTGTGGCTCAGGGCACTGTTAGGCACAGGGAGACCTTACCCAGTCCTACCTCATTCCATCACCTTGCTCTTGACACCTCTTTCTCTCCCAGGTCCCCGTGGTGCCCCCGAAGGAGACCTCCATCCCACGGCACCAGAGCTACCATCAGGATCCTGTCCACAGGCAGGCGCCTGCCTTGCCACCCCGGCAGGCCATGTGGTCCTCGAAGGCCAGGTAAGCATGGCAGGATGGGAGTAAACCAGGAACCCAATTGAGCCCTTCTAATCTTCCTGTTTCCTCACTAGGCCTCCCGACCCTCTGCATTTGTGCCGCGAGCCCTTGAGCCGAGTCCACCAGACCCCTTTCACCCTGAGGCAGCGATCAAAGACAACCCCTGGCCCAGAGGAGGGCCCTTCACAAAAGGTGGACCGGGCCCCCCAGCCCACCCTGGTGGTGATGCTGGAAGACATCGCCAGTCCTAGACCCCCAGCTGAGGTATGGGAACTGAGGGTACGAATGTCAGGGGTTCTGCTGGGTTCCAGCAGGGATAGAATAAGGGTGGGAGGCCTGAGTCTCAGTTGGATTTTTCTCAGACTGAGGAGGATGACATTTTAGGTTGCAGACACTGCCTGAGCAGACATCTTTGGCCTGAACCCAAGCAGGTATCTGGGGACTGAAAGAGTCAGGATGTGGGGTCCTAAGGAGGCTTCCCTGCCTCCCCAGAAACATTCCCTATTTTTATCCAGGGCTTCATTGATGAGACCCCCAACTTCATCATCCCAGCACAAAGGTGAGAGGGCTGGAGAAGGGATTATCAAAGGATCCAGGCAACAGCCATCATCCAGGTAGCCAGAGCTAGGGGCATCGGGAATGACTGATCCAGTCCTTCTTTGAGGCATTTTTCTTTTGTCTTTTTTTTTTTTTGAGACGGAGTTTCACTCTTGTTACCCAGGCTGGAGTGCAATGGCTTGATCTCAGCTCACCGCAACCTCCACCTCCTGGGTTCAGGCAATTCTCCTGCCTCAGCCTCCTGAGTAGCTGGGATTACAGGCACGTGCCACCATGCCCAGCTAATTTTTTGTATTTTTAGTAGAGACAGGGTTTCACCATGTTAACCAGGATGGTCGTGATCCACCCGCCTCGGCCTCCCAAAGTGCTGGGATTACAGTCGTGAGCCACCATGCCCGGCCATTTTGGCATTTTTAAAAGCCTTAAGGGGCCAGGCACGCTCACGCCTGTAATGCTAGCACTTTAGGAGGCCGAGGCAGTAGAATTACTTGAGCCCAGGAGGTTGAGGCCAGCCTGGGCAACATAGTAAGACCCTGTCTCTACAAAAACATTGTTTTATTATTTATTTAATTTGTTTATGAGGTGGAGTTTTTGCTCTGTTGCCCAGGCTGGAGTGCAATGGTGCCATCTCGGTCACTGCAACTTCTGCCTCCTGGGTTCAAGTGATTCTCCTGCCACAGCCTCCTGAGTAGCTGGGATTACAGGTGTCTGCTACCACACCTGGCTAATTTTTATATTTTTAGTAGAGTTGAGGTTTCACCATGTTGGTCAGGCTGGTCTCGAACTCCTGTCATTAGGTGATCCACCCACCTTGGGCTCCCAAAATGCTTGGATTACAGGCATGAGTCACCACACCCAGCCAAAATATTGTTTTAAATTAGTTGGGGCCGGGCGCGGTGGCTCCTCACGCCTATAATCTCAGTGCTTTGGGAGGCCGAGGCGGGTGGATCACGAAGTCAAGAGATCGAGACCATCCTGGTCAACAAGGTGAAACCCCGTCTCTACTAAAAATACAAAAATTAGCTGCGCATGGTGGCGCATGCCTGTAGTCCCAGCTACTCGGGAGGCTGAGGCAGGAGAATTGCTTGAACCCAGGAGGCGGAGTTTGCGGTGAGCCGAGATCGAACCATTGCACTCCAGCCTGGGTAAAAAGGGGAAAACCCCCCCCGCAAAAAAAAAAAAAAAAAAAAAAAAATTAGTTGGATGTGGTGGCCCATGCCTTTGGTTCTAGCCACTTGCAAGGCTTGAGGTGGGAGGATTGCCTGAGCCCAGGAGTTCGAGGCTGCAGTGAGTCAAAATGGTGCCACTGCCCTCCAGCCTGGGCCACAGAGCAAGACTCTATCTCAAAAAAAAAAAAAAAAAAAAAAGAAGAAGAAGAAGCCTTAAGGGGCAGAGGAGTTGCTGGCTCAGATGGAATCCCTGGAAGTTGCCCTAGCCTTTACCTTGCCCTTTACCCCAGAGCTGAGCCCATGAGGATAGTTCACCAGCCAATGCCTTCACTCGGGGACCTAGAACCCCCATTCCAGCCATCTACTCTGCCTGCAGACTCTCCGGAGAACCCATCGTCGGGTAAGGAACTCGGGTAGAGATGGGATGAGACTTGGGGGTCTGAAACATCCTAGTTGAGCTTGGAAGTGTCAAGTCAGAGGTTGGGGTGGGGCTTAACCCCTCCCAGTGCAGGGCTTGGTATATGAAGGTGGGGTGTCAATGTCAGAGGCTTGAATTTCAATTCCTAAATGCAGAATTTAGTGTTTTAGGGGCGGGCTCATTCCTCTGTACACAAAGTTGAGCATGGGGGGAGTGGCTGAGGCTACTGAGGAGGGGCTGAGACACTGCAGCCAAGGAATGCCCACCTGTGACCCTCTCCTTTCCTCAGCCCCAGATCCTGCTCTGGAGCTCCCATCCACCCCACCACCGTCCAGCCTTTTACGCCCCCGCCTCAGTCCCTGGGGCTTGGCCCCACTCTTCCGTTCTGTCCGTTCCAAGCTGGAGAGCTTTGCTGACATCTTCCTCACGCCCAACAAAACCCCACAGCCCCCGCCCCCGTCCCCCCCCATGAAGCTGGAGTTGAAGATCGCCATCTCAGAGGCCGAGCAGTCTGGGGCTGCGGAGGGCACTGCCTCTGTCAGCCCCCGGCCCCCCATCCGCCAGTGGCGGGCTCAGGACCGCAATATCCCAGCACCTCTCCCTAAGCCCTCTCTGGGCCGAAGCTACTCCTGCCCTGATCTGGGGCCCCCTGGCTCTGGTACCTGCACCTGGCCACCTGCTCCACCCCAACCAAGCCAGCCACGGCCACGGCGGCACACTGTGGGTGGTGGGGAAATGGCCCGAACCCCGCCACCCCCTCGGCCCTGTCTCCGGAAAGAGGTCTTCCCTCTCGGAGGAGTGGGAGCCTCCCCTTCTCTCGCCACATCTTGCTCGTCCACGGCATCCACTTCCTCCTTCTCCGAACCAGCAGAACCCAGGTAGTGCTCTCAAAAAACCCCTCTCGAAGCCTGGCTGCAGCCTGGGCCCAGCCTCCTTCCCTGAGTATCCAGCGGGCAGGAGACCGGGATAATGCAGTGAATCTTGTTTGTCCCTGAGCCTTGACCTTCTTGGCAGGTTGGGTTCAACCAAAGGGAAGGAGCCAAGAGCCTCAAAGGACCAGGTGCTTTCAGACCCTGAGACCAAGGTAGGCATGAAGATCGGGGGGAAGGGACCACAGGGGGACTGAGCCCATTTCACTCTTTCACCTTCTGCCCATTTTTGCAGACCATGGGAAAGGTTTCTGGATTTAGAATACGCAGAACACCAGCCCGCCCTCAGCTAAACCTTACACCAATGGGACTGCCTCGACCAATCAGGTGAGGGGCTCACTGGGCATTGAGCCATCTTGGCCAAACAGATGCAGTCTCATGTACCCTGAAGTATGACTTTGTCTCCTCTCAGGGAGCACAGTCCAGCCTGGAGAATTTAATTCAGTGTGGGCATGGTTTGTGCTCAGAATTGCCTGTCTGCCTTATGTAGCACTCCTGGCCCTGACATGTCCCAGAAACTGAAATACAGACCAGGACTTACCTGTCCCTTCAGGTCCCACTGGCTCAAGGCTTTTCAGTAGCCTCTGCTCTTTGCTCACAGGTTGAACAAGAAGGAGTTCAGCTTGGAGGAAATCTATACCAACAAGAATTACCAGTCACCCACAACCAAGAGGTGAGACACTTGAAAGGCTTGAGGGTGGCAGAGGGAAGCTGGAGCTGTGGGGCAAGCTGATAACCAGCTCCTCTCCCTGCCTCGTCCAGGACCTTTGAGACCATCTTCGAGGAACCGCGGGAGCGCAATGGGACTCTGATTTTCACCAGCTCGAGGAAGCTCCGTCGGGCTGTGGAATTTCGAGACAGCAGCCTTCCTCGATCTCGACGGCCGTCCCGTGGGGTCCGGGCTGCAGGGGGCAGGACTGTTCCTCCCAATGTGGCCCCCAGCCCTGATGTGGGCTCCCTGTTGCAGCAGCGGCTGGAGGAGCTAGACGCCTTGCTTCTGGAGGAAGAAACTGTAGATCGGGAGTAGCCCCATTGGACCTAGGTGCTCCATCTGTTTGTCATCCATCCTGAAGGGACGGGAAACCTCCCAGACCGTTATTTTTTTTTCTCTATATTTCTAGTAAAGGTTTCGATATGTTTCTGATTCTTTTGTATCTCTAGCTGAGTTCAAGATTAATTTGGCAGTACTACCTGATGTTTCTACATTGGCCCCCAAGGTCTGGGAACTGGGGCTGGTGCCAGGGATGGTGACAGGGGTTGGGCACAGGGTACAGGGAAGGTGGAGTGGTCATTGGCTAATTTTTTTGTTTTTGAGACAGAGTCTTGCTCTGTCACCAGGCGCCAGGCTGGAGTGCAGTGGCGTGATCTCAGCTCACTGCAGCCTCCGCCTACTGGGTTCAAGCAATTTTGCCTCAGCCTCCCGAGTAGCTGGGACTACAGGCATCCGCCACCATGTCCAGCTAATTTTGTATTTTAGTAGAGATGGGGTTTCACCATGTTGGTCAGGATGGTCTTTATCTCTTGACCTCATGATCCGCCCGCCTTAGCCTCTCAAAGTGCTGGAATTACAGGCGTGATCCAAAACGCCCAGCCCCATTGGCTATTTTTTTTGTATTTTTAGTAGAGATAGGGTCTTACTGTGTTAGTCAAGATGGTCTCGATCTCCTGACCTCGTGATCCATCAACTTCGGCCTCCCAAAGTGCTGGGATTATAGGCGTGAGCTACCATGCCCGGCCCTATTTATTTTTTTTATTTGACAGAGTTTCACTCATCACCCAGGCTGTAGTGCAATGGCACAATCTTGGCTCACTACAGCCTCCGCCTCCCAGGTTCAAGTGATTCTCCTGCCTCAGACTCCTGAATAGCTGAGATTACAGGTGCCTGCTACCACAATGCATGGCTAATTTTTGTATTTTTAGTAAAGATGGGGTTTCACCATGTTGGCCAGGCTGGTCTCCTAACTCCTGACCTCAGATGATCTGCCTGCTTCAGTCTCCGTAAATGCTGGGATTACAGGCATGAGCCACCATGCCCAGTCTACAGATACTTTTTTTTTTCCTTCTTTTTTTGAGATGGAGTTTCGCTCGTTACCCAGGCTAGAGTGCAATGGCGTGATCTCGGCTCACCACAACCTCCGCCTCCTGGGTTCAAGCAATTCTCCTGCCTTAGCCTCCCGAGTAGCTGGGACTACAGGCATGCCCCACCATGCCCAGCTAATTTTTGTATTTTTAGTAGAGACGGGGTTTCACCATGTTGACCAGATGGTCTCGATATCTTGACCTCATGATCCACCCGCCTCGGCCTCCCAAAGTGCTGGGATTATAGGCTGGAGCCACTGCGCCTGGCCTTACAGATACTCTTGATTACAGAATTCTCCTCTGTGGAGGAACACTTCTGAATCAGTGCCAGATGATTCTGTGACCCTAGGCCCTGGTCTGGGTTCTCCCAATTCATTTATATCAAGGAGACTGGAAGGTCTATAGTGGGCCACGCCCTTGAAAATCAAGATGGCCCTGAATTCCTGCTAACATGCAGGCCAGGACCTGCTGCTGGATTTAAGAGCTACATGTAGGCCAGGTGTGGTGGCTCATTCCTATAATCCCAGCACTTTGGGAGACTGAGGCCGGTGAATCAGGAGGCTAGGAGATCGAGATAAGCCTGGCCAACATAGTGAAACCCCGTCTCCATTAAAAATACAAAAATTAGCCAGGCGTGGTGATGCACACCTGTAATCCTGGCTCCTGGTAAGGCTGAGGCAGGAAAATCACTTGAACCGGAGAGGCAGAGGTTGCAGTGAGCTGAGATCGAGGCACTGCACTGCAGCCTGGGGAAGAGAGCCAGATCCTGTCTCAAAAAAAAAAGTAAAAAAAAAAAAGAGCTAAGGGTAATGGGGTGTAATGTAGCACTCAGGACGACTGTCACAGGTACTTCACCTGCACTTGTCCCTGAGACAGAGAATTAGTCATTTTATGGATGAGAAAGCAAGGCAGGCATGTCATCGCACTGTCCACTTTTAAAACGGTAACCCGGACAACCGGAGGCCAGAAATGGCTTTTTTTTTTTTTTAAGCCAGTCACACTGAGCACTGGGGTGCATCTTTCATAACTCAGAGGCATCACAGGGCAGTCAGTGGCTGGAACACAGACATGGCTAGGAGACCGCCAGTCTGTCTGTGCACGCATTCCCGTCCATCCCCGTAAAATGGAGTCGGCAGCATCACCTTCGTGGAATTATCACCAAACGAAGTCACTAACGCGGAAAAGCGCTCGGTTCAAAAGTGCAAGGCATCTTCGAATTGCTAGCGCTCGGGGACCGCTGCCAGCAGCCGCACCTGGAAGGGTAGCCGGACGCAGCTGCCAGTCCGTGCGACTGTCGCTGGAACAGCACGCGGCCGCTTCGGCCACCCCACGCCGCGGAGCAACCCTGGAGCCGCCAGACGGACGGTGACCGCGCCACGCGCGTGCGCGAGACGCCAGACGGTCTGTGGGCCGCGCTGAGAGGCGGAAAGGCGGCGACGACTCACCTAGCTCAGGAACGAACCTCTCGCGCAGCCGCGCGCCTCCCGGCGGCCAACCGCCTCCAACGCCTTGGCTCCGCGTCTCCGCCCCTCCCCTCGACGCCATCAGGAGACGGACCAATAAGCGAACAGCAGGAAGAGGCGGGGCCCTGCGGGGACCACCCCAAACACCTACTTCTAACCAGTCGAGTCACAAGACGGGAGGAAGGGCGGGGCCAATCTGACGTAACCCAATCCAAGATTTGAGGGCGGTTATATACACCCACTCCCTCGGGCTTGGCTCCGCCCCTCACCTTGGCGTAGCCCTCTCAGCCTATCACCGACTGCGCCCGTGGAGGGTGGGAGGAGGCCGAGAGAGGAAGGAGGTGTAGGCTGAGGAGGAAGAGGGAGGAGGGGCAGGGAAGTCCTGGCGGTGAAGCGCCCCCAAGACTCCAACGGAGACAACAGGAGTTTGCGCTGGAGCTTCCCCGCTGCCCATCGGCCGTTCTGGACCCCCTAAGGCCCAAGTCGGACAGAGACTGAGGAAAGGAGGAAGAGACTTTTATGTCGGCGGACAGAGAAGCTGTACCCGTCACCGTTGCCTCACATCCGGGGCCCTGGAGGGCTGGCCCCGCGGCCCCGCCCCTCCTCGCGCCTTTCATGGCAACCGGAGGCGGAGGCTGGAGGAGCTGGGCCCGGAGGAGGTCCCTTTAAATCTCCTTAAAGGGGTGGCCACTGAACTCGGCGGACTCGAACGCCAGCCTTAAAGGGGAAGCCGCCGAACAGACGCTGACAAATAGAGCACTGTGCCGTTGGGAGAACTGGGACGAGTGGGGATTTTCTTTACCTTCTCCTCCTCCTCCACACGCAAGAAGTCCTTTAAATACAGCTTAAAGGGGAAGTGGCCTCTTGTGAAGGACTAGAAACTAACTCCGAGCCTTTAAAGGGACGGTCTGCTGTTTGAAGGACCCTGGACTCCTTAAAGGGGTGGCCTCTTTGAGCCGGAGGACTTTGAGACTTTTAAAGGAGAGGTCTGCGATTCGGGGCGAGCTTTCGGCCCCTTTTAAAGGGGTGGCCCTTCCTCCTCTTCGAGGAGACTTGCCTCGACCCCTGGCAGGGGGCGGCCACCGCACTAGACCGCCGGACACTGTCGGGTCGTCTTAAAGGTGCCAGGGGCTGGACAACTTGGGGCCTCGCCTTAAAGGGACGGCTGCCCCGTTTTCGCCGTCGCGGCCCCGCCGAGCCCGCAGGGGGGGCCCTCGGGCTTGTCGCCCCGGGGGCGGCGCCGGCTCCCCGGGCCGTGGCCTTGGGGCAAGCTTGGGGCCAGCAGATCCGGCTTTAAAGGGGAAGCCGTGGCCCTTTCGTCCCTGTGCAGGCGCCAGCGTCGCGCCTGCGACCCCGGGCCTGCGGACAGGCCGCTTCGGGCCCCGCCGCCTCCGGATGCGGCGCTGAGGGCGGTCGCCATGGAGACGGCAGCGGCCGCGGCCCCGGGCCCGGGCTGGGCAACTGAGGGGGAGCGGCGGCGGCGGCGTTGCTCGCGCCGAGACCGAGACCGGGAGCAGCGGCGCCGCCGAGGTCCAGGCGGCGACGCGCCCCGGGCCCTGTTGGCCGCCCCGCGCGGCTCCTCGTCCTCGTCGTCGCCGCCGCCGCCCGCCAGGCCTTGGTCGTCAGCTTCGTCTGGAGAGCGGCCCGGGGGCCCGAGACGCCGGCGGCCCCGTCCCAGACCTCGACCCCCGCGACCTCGAGCTCGGAAGCGGCCTGCGGGCTCGGGCAGCCGCGGGGAGGAAGAGGAGGAGGAGGAGGAGGGGGGCGCAGACGACGGGGAAGCCGAGGAGGAGCCTGAGGAGGAGGAAGAGGAGGAGGAGGACTTGATCGATGGCTTCGCTATCGCCAGCTTCGCCAGCCTCGAGGCCTTGCAGGTGGGGCTTAATGGGGATGGGGGACTTTGGGGGTTTCCGAGGGGCAGCGAGGAGGGTGCAGTGCCCGGAGTGGGTGGAGTTGAGGGGGAATGCTGGCACCCCAAACCAGAGCAACCGGCTCCTCTGGCCAGGCCTCTGCCCCGCCCTGGGATGGGAGGTGGTAGAGCTCGTCTCCAGGGACCCGGTTTCCCGGCCCAAAGGGCACTTGGGCAGCCTGCTCACTCCTAGCGGAGTTGGGAGATTGCCCCTTTCCATCCACCTCAGCCCCACCTCCTCCTCCACAGAAGGATGCATCTCTTCAGCCCCCAGAGCGACTGGAACATCGGCTGAAGCATTCTGGGAAGCGGAAGAGGGGAGGCTCCAGTGGGGCCACCGGGGAGCCAGGGGACAGTTCTGATCGGGAGCCGGGCAGGCCCCCTGGGGATCGGGCCCGAAAATGGCCCAATAAGCGGAGAAGAAAAGAGGTGAGTTTGTCCTTTAAAACTCTTTAGGCAGAATGTGTTTCCCACTGCCATGTTTTTCATTAGTAATCCTACTACCCCTTGTAAACAGTGACCCCAGTCTCTTAAGGGCAAAGAGGCAAGCAGGGCAAATTTGAGCCCTCACCCTCATCTGGGTCTGACAAAGACCTGTCTACAGTCAGGTGTACCGACTTTTGCTTGGTTTTGTGTCTACTTCAAATGTTTCGATAATTCAGAGAGACGTCAAAGGGACCTAGTTTGGTCATA